CCTCCCAGGTGAGTGGCACAGGGTCCCCTCCGCTCACAGGTGGATGGGGTGGTGACAGCACTGAGCTGTCTCAATTCACTCCCAATTCTCCGTGTGCTTTCCCAGACCATCCCCCTTCCCAGGAGTTTTTCCAGTGCTTTGGGTCTAATTTGGGATTTGTGAGGGGTGTTGGGCGTCCACATTTCCACGTGACACAGCCACCTTTAACTTTCCTCCTCTCGGTTCGGGTTTGGGTTTGATTTGTTCCTGTTTCGTTTCTCCGGGCTGAGCTAAGGAGGTTCCTGCGGGTGTTCTGAAGACCCCTCCAGAAATGCCTGCTCTGCTCCCGGGGCTGGGATTGCTCCTCCTGCTGCTGGGTGAGTCTGCCCGTGGAGGGAGGGCTGTCCTGCGAGGGTTTTCCACATCAGGGATAATCCTCAAAAGGGAAAACTGTTCTGACAGACCACTGAATGTAGTGGTTTCTCTAAACCCCCAGCCATTCACTGGTTGTTACTGGATCTGTGGATGAAGTGGTTTCTTTTGGATGATAAATAGGGTGGGAATATATAATTGGAATTGGTTGGGATTGAACTGTGGGGATGAGCTCTGTCCTGGATTTGCTCTAAAATCGGGGCATGTTGTGTTCCAGGGTGGCAGGGAGCCGCTGCAGCTGCTGCTGGGACACACCTGGTAAGGCAGATTTTCAGAACATCACAGAATTCCAGAGTGGTTCGGGTTGGAGGGATCATGAAGATGATCCGGTTCCAGCCCTGCTTTCCACTGGGACCACACTCAAACGTGGCCAGGCTCAAACCATCAGGAGAACATCCCCTCCTCGTGCTGGGGGTGGGGTAACCTGGCACTTCCCAGCTCTCTGAGATACAGAGCCAGCAATGTGTGGGAATTCTGCAGAGTGGGAGCTCTGGGTTTGGGATTTGAGCGTGTTCAGGTCACAACCCTGTCCAAAGGGTTGCAGCTCCCACTTGTCCCACTGGTCTCCCAGTACAGACACAAATGATCATCTTTGGTGACCACAAATAATGTTAATAATGATAATAATGTTAATAACGTTATAATTTCATGCTAACATCATCCTTTTTCTCTTTCTCCTGGCACAGTGCTCCAGCTCCCCTGTCGATGGTGAGTCCCTTCCCAAATATCCTCCATCAGG